AGGGTATTTCTAATACGAGTCGGCCAGGCAACGCGTTAAAACCGCGGAGTGAAAGTCTCTCCAGCTTCCTCGTTTCGACGTTATTATTCATCAGGGCCCCAGCGGTGTTGTTTTTAAGCAAACTGGACAACGCCATGGCGGCGGTTGATATTCTTCGATAGAACGCGGAGAATTATTATTACCGCCCCGGTTATGTCGGCGCGTTCCGAGAATTGGCCGACCAATCGCCGGAGTGCACCGTAATCACCGTATTCGTGCATCACGGTTTCGCCAGTACTTTCTCGGAAGCGCTAATAAAATTGTTCGTAATGACAGGCCGTGCGTCCCTGAACGCGAGCTCGGCTCAGCCTCGACGGTCTTCGTGCGGCTTTTACAGCGCGAGGTTTGTTTAACAAATTACGCCCCATTTTTCCGCGCCGCGACGAGTAGAAACGTCTTCGAAAAAAAAACAACCTCGGTGCACGCGCGATCCGCGGAGTTTCGCCTCGTTTTCTCGAACCGCCATTATTTTTCGTGGTTCCGGAAACCTGCGCTTGCCAGTTCGTTTTTCGAACCTTTTCGTTTCTACCCGATAATATTTCTCGAGTTCGAAATTTCGTTTCGATCGTGCATTCTTGTAAACAAAAATTCGTGAACCCAGCGTTTGCTTTATCTTCGCCAAGATGGCGTGGCTCACCGAGGGTTAATGGAGGTTAAGTTCCAGAAAAGTGGACGAGTGGCGCCTCGCCATTTACGCAATTATAGATATCCTCGTTTCAATTCTACCATTCTATATACAGGGTGTATTCAAATTCTGTACAAGTTTGTTACTCACGTTGCTCGACGACACCGGGTTCCTCCGCTTGCGTCCTCGTCGAAAGTCGGAGGCGAACTTTGCACCTTGTTCGTGGCTGGACTCGAGGGAATCGGTAATCCGGTAGATACGGACAGAGAAAACGTCACGGGATTGCCTCTTATCTGTGCCTCGTCGGCGTTTTAGGGCCAATCTTTCTCCGCCGCCGCGTCCTCGCGATTTCTTCACCCTTCGATCGCGCGGCGCTTCGCTTTATCGCCCGAAACGAGAGAATTCTGGCGACTGTCGAATTCCCTGCTCATTGAAGATCGGCCGATTCGATCCCTCGAAGCGTACCTACGTCGATGGCGTTAATTTTTTTACACCATCACCATTTTTAAAGAATTTATGTAACTTTGTAAAATGTACATGCACCGAGGAACACAATACAGATATACGCAGTTTATAAAACGTATACGGAAGAAATGGGTCGTAAAAGAACAGATGTTGGGTATGAGAATATTTACCAGTAATACTACCGGTAGAATAATGATATATTGGTGTTTTTGTGAACCGGTACGACGTCAAACCGGTATTTTCTTGCCTCGTTTTCTGCAAGGGTTTTCTTGACGTAACGGAAACGTAGTACAACTTCTTATCCTGAAAAGTCGAAAATTCTTTATCGTTCAACATACGCCAGAAATTGTAGAAATTTGTGTTCCTGTAGGAAGACTCAAAGTTTCCAAATCAGAGTTCTTATATTGTTCCAAAAGTGTAAATAATCAATTTGTAAGATGAGTTTCGAATTGTTTGTTCGATAAACGAGAAGTTTGAAAATGTACGGAACCGTTGTAGGTAAAATACCCACGAAGCCCTGGGGAATTTCCTCGCTAGGTAAACAGGTTTCGCGCTAGACAAAGCGAGTCGGTAAAACAGTCCGCAAGAGTAAAACGGACCGTGACCTTGATCCGTAATCTGTCGTTACGCGCATTGCTTTTTAATTGTGCGTTTAATTGGCGGTACGTATACGACAGCTTAAACGGCATGTAAGCTGTACATTATGATTAGATAAACGCCCGACAAAAAGTGACGCGTAACAACTATTTGCATAATGGATGAGAAAGAAATCTACTCAGGTTTATTATCCTTTTACGGTTTACATTAATATATCCTACAACTTAACGCGCGTAATAGTTTATTCGCGCAAAAAGTGCCTGGCCGGTAAACGTCGTCTACACGTTTTCATCCTTCGTTTCTGTTGCTCGCGCCGATTTTATTCGTCCCAATTAATTTGCAACTTGCGGAGCAGCATCGGAGCATAAGTGCACCGATTAATAGTCAACGACAGTCGCTAATACGAGACGCGTGGCGGTAGACAATCGATACGTAAGAAATCGTACGGTGAAACCGTAATCGTGCGCATTGGGAGTTCGCTACTTTCGATTCTTGGCAATTAATCGAACGTTTCGAATTCCTGCCTAATAAACCGTAGAACGCGCGCAACGAGCAGTGAAAAGTGATCTGGGTTAACGTTGGATCTAGAAAACTTCGATCGAGAATTTCAGTTACGGTAGAAACTACATAGAATAAAATTATGTCGTTCCAGATTTCATATCGGATCGGTTTGGTATTTGGAAATATCATTTCTCGAGCTTTTTAAAATATTATTGTTCCTTGGGAAGCTCTGATTTACACGGTGGGAAATCACTGTGGCTGATCGTGTAAAGGTTTAAGAATTAAGAATTCAAGTTTTCTGAATAACATTTCGAAACGTTGTAATATCGTTGGGACGATATTTCCAATTTCCCTCGTCCGTTCACCGTGAACATAGATTACGACGAGTCTGAAGTAATAATATTTCGTAATACCGCCTACGCATATGTCAATATATCGACAGGGCTTCGATAATATCGATTAATTACCGGTGGTTTCAATATATTGCATTAATCCACGATATCATCCCCGGACTATTACTGCCAATATTCTTTATTGCACAATAATACCGATCGTGGGTGGGTGCCCTAACACGTTCGCTATCGACATGTGGGTCAGGAATGTCTCGACAAATGTCACCTACCCGATTAAATGATAAAATACCACTACCCCCGCAGTCGTATTATTTATCCAATGTATATAATCGAATATCGTACAAATGGACCGGTGTACGTCTAAATAAATAAATAAAACGGGAAGTTTGGCACCGCGGTCGCTAAATTTGAGAAGAGTCGGGCGTGGATGCCGGTACAAAGAGCGCGGCTCGGTTATTCCCTTTATCTCCTCGAAGATGGCGCGCTAGGTGCCTCCAGTTCCGATCGCCAGGGCGTCACCCCGGCTCACCCCCAGCCTGGAGCGATCCTGCAGGACCACCGCCCAATTCCTCTTCCCCCCTCGTACCGTTCACGTTCCCTCGGGCCGCGAGATCATGCTCGGGGTAGCCCTGGAACGAGAACCTTCGCTCGAGAATTCCACGACACGTTCGTAGGGCACCGGCAGAACCAGACCACCTCTTTATCCTCCGCGCATCTTTACCGTGGTCCACGCATACCAACCGGCCTCCCGGCTCTCCGTCTTTGTCCGCGCCACGGACGCAATTTACACCCCGTGGTGCTCAAGACAGGTATACGTACTCCGCGTAGCGTGGCCGCGATCAGAACGACCGTGGACCATTCCGGTCCAGGACGCGTCAGGATCGTTCCTGTAATTGGACGGGCCCGTGTTTCGACACTACGTCGACGACACCCTTTGTCTCGAACTCTGATCGGTCGCTTGCGTAATTATGGGATCGCGCTGGATCCGCCGTGGATCGACGATCGTACATCACCGGCTCTCGGGTTTATTGGACGCCGGCTTAGCCTCGAGGGGGGACGATTGGATCGCGGCACGAGGAGCCTCCGACAGAAATATGGGAGAAACGAGCCTGTTTCGGCGGTAGCTGGCCCTAATTAACGATATCGTCGATTGTCTCTAGCTTTGGGCACCTCCGGGATATTGCTTCTCAAAGCGATTCCTTCCAGTTGCCAGAGCAATAGATAAAGCGTTGTTCAGAGGAATTCGCGAAAATCAGTGCAACGGTAATTAACGCCAGCGTGTTAATCGTCGATATCGTAAATCCCAAGAAGGCTTTTCCCCGGGATCGTAAATTATTCGTTGGCCCCCTGGGCGAAAGCAATTGTCGGTCGCGGAATATCTTCGTCGCCGCGGGGCAATAAACGGGGGGCGGTTGGTCGTCAAAACATCGTACAGTTTCCAGTCCCTTATCTTCCTCTTGTGAATCAGTTCCCGCGGCTGGCAGCAGATTAAACTTCACGTGTCCCCCGTGTATAAAAAAGGGTATAACCATCCGGCGTTGTTTAGGTCGTTTTCTGTATCGTTCCATCTATCGAACCGCCCTGGCAACGAAGGTCGGGCCCCGGAGGCTTTTCTCCTTTTGTACACCCGGGTTGCCACGTCTCGGGGTATCATCGGGCCAGGCGGTGTCTTTAAGGATCGAGTGGCTTCGAACGGGACACGGAGAGAGGTGGGACATTCATCTCCATAGATTAGGTTCCGGGGGTACTATTCGTATTTCGACGCGCCAGCCCATTTTTCGGATACCTGCGCGAGGCCACGCCTGGCTTGTCCTGGGGCCCCAACATCTCCAGGAATTAAAGGATCTCGCGTGGATAATTTGTAATCAACGCGATAAATTACGGATCTCCGAATAAGTCGGTGGTCCGAGTCACCTGGACTCCGTGGGAGTCTGGGGTAGGTTCGAGTTTGCATATTTAACCCTGGACCAGTGTTTCTCATAATGTAGGGGAGGGGAACCTTAGCGGGGATGGGGTCTCGGGACCGAGAGGAAATTTTTAATTTAGAAAGATTTCGTTTTATTAACTCCTTGCACTCCCGAGCTTGTCTGGAAACCTTGTGGCGTTCCGTGACCGCTGTTACCGTTTATTAAAATCTGTCGATCGTAAAGATACGTGGCTCGTTGCAATTTTTAACCGGAGAACCGAACGCTTAACGCGTACTTTCCCGAACGGCTAACAAGGTCTGTATTTATGTTGTGTTTCAGGAGGGGAGAGAGTCGTCCAAGGTAAGTACGACAGCGTGGGTCAGAATGTATCCTGAAACTGATTGTCGTTGATCGGTTAATCGACGGGTTGTATCGTCCAAACAGTAGGAAATAAATTGTAAAATTAATCGAACCCTGAAATCTCGATTCCCTCGTCGTTAAAGCCCTCGTAAAACTCGCGAGACGAAGGAGCTGCCGGTTCGAGGGGCGATCTTGGCCGTTTACCGCGTAGCGTCGCGCTCTCGGCGATCGAGAGCAAGCATAAGTCGCGTTATATTTAAACTTAGTAAGAGTAAGGAAACCGAGCGTTGGGAACGGAAGAAGAGGAATCAATTCGAAGCCTTCCGCGATGCAGGGAGACGGTCGCTGGAGCGATCGAGGACCTTTCCCGCCCCTGCACCTTTCCACCCTCGCGAGGCTTGCCCCTTCCCCGGGCCCCATCGACGATGCCACCACTCTCAGAACGCTGGAATGCCGGCACTATCCCGAGCGGGACGAGTTCAGTGGTTTCCAAGAGTCGAGCAGACGACGCGAAACGGGGGAGAGGCGAGAGAGAGCCGCGGTTCCGACGGAATCGGAATCGAGAACGGTAGAGGAGCGCCATCTGGATCGTCGTTTCGATCGATCGAATCGCGGGAGTCGAGAGCACAGGGCGGGAAGCAAAAGAAACGAAAGAAACGGGGAGCAGATAAGGCGAAAATTGGGAGACCCGGAGGAGAACGTACGCCGTCGGACCCGAAATCGGGAGCCGCGGGTGCGATTAGCAAGATCGATACGAAACTGCGAACCGGGAGAATTGCTGCGCGTTTACGAGCTGGCCGAAAGAGACGCGAGGGAGAAGACTGAGAAGTGTAAAAACAAAGGAGAAGGAAACGACTCGTCGAGGGGGGGAGCGAGAGAGAGAGAGAGAAAAGAGAAAAAAAAAAGCGAAGAAACGCGTGCGAGAGGCTAACGTTCGAAAAACCACGGTTGGCGAGGAGAAAGAGAGGAGCGGAGATTAGAGGAAAACAGAGGGAACGAGTATTCGCGCGAGACGCTCGAAGGCTGGCGAGCGAGGCGGTGTTGTGCAGAGGTTATAGGCAACGTGGCGGGCCAGGAGTTGCACTGGCGAGAGAGAACACGAAGAGGAGAGAACCCGTGGACACGGACGAGGCTCGAGAGCGTGGCGTGGTGAAGCGAGAGCGGCTGTGAGGCGCCCTGAGCTGGAAAGAAACGAGAGAGAGAGCTCGAAGCATAGGCAGCAGCGAAGATCAGAGCGAGGCGAGCCGACCCGGAGAGAGAGAGCCATTCATCTTGGCGCGCCTAGGCGGCGCGCGATTGGTCCACCGCGGATAAGGGAGCGGCGCGATTGGTCGGCTCTGTTTACCAGCTGGTACCCCGGCGCGGCGCGCTCGAGGATCGGAGAAGAGAGGGGGGAACAGAACGGAGAGACAAGCGGCGCCATTATTGTAAGGGGTTACATTTAGCTGGCCGTGGGTTGTAGTACGCGGCGTTCGGGATAGGGGGCTATAGTACCTTCATGCATGGCCCATAAAGGATTCGTCGACTATCCGAGAAGTACGCAAGAAACGGCTTCTAACACCTGACAGGGGCCACGCTCTTCTCTTCTCTTCTCTCTCCGCGTGCCGTCGCCTCGTTCGCCGTCGCAGCCCAATTTCCTTCGCTGGGACCACTGCGTTGGATCAGCTGGGTGGGCCCGAGGAACGACGAAAGACCCGCTGCTTTATCGCCGTGCGTCGTCGCCCCGATGTGGAAGGAATCGTAATTACCATAAAGGAATCGTAACGAGAGCCCCGGTCCGGTGGATTCTCGGGAGCCGAACGACGCGATGCTCTGAGAGACTCGACCACAGACGAACGTTCCGCGGTGTGTCGTCCGCCGTCCGCCGTCGCGAGCCGTCGCGGTGCCTCGCGGACCATCATCATATCCCTCGCGTCCGCTCTCGGGTTCCTGTGATAATGTGTCAAGTTGCGTAAGTGGCGATCGAAATAGTGGGGGTCAAAGGTAAACGGATAACCGAAGGGAAAGGCCCAGGAGACGGGACATTGTGAAAGAAGGGTGCGGAAAAAGAGCTCGGGGGAGTCGGTGTTGTCGGGATCGGACGAGTAAAAAACCCCGGTGCGAACGGTGAGTGCGCGAAAGATGAGGCAGCAGCTGGCGCGCTCGCCAGCGGCACGGTGTCGGTGTTGAGACACTCGACCCGGTCTCCGTGTCCGGGCGTGTCATCGGCATCGAGGCACCGAGAGATCGGCAACCGGTGACAGCCGATATGAGTTCGAAATTCATAATCGATAGTATGCTACCTAAGTACCATCAGCAGTTCCATCATCAACAGTTGTTCACGAGCGCGAACCCAGGCACGATCCAAGCGTGCACCACGAGCCCCGCCACCGCCAGTTTAGAGTCCAGTTTATCCGCGGCTGCGGTCGCGGCCGCGGCAGTGAATTACGCGCAACAGCACAATTCTCCGAGCCCTACCGGCTCCAGTCCCCAGCACTCGGGCAGCTCAGCGTCTACCTCACCGGCGGCACGCACCACCTCTAGCATGTATCCGTACGTATCGGCGGCGGCGGCGCATCATCATCATCAACAGCAGCAAGCGGTCGCGGCGGCGGCCTTCGGTGCCACGTCCAGCATGGTGCCGGGGTTCGGTTCCACCGCGGCCTCGAGCGCCGCGTTGGCCGCGGCCGCGGCCGTCGACGCCGCAACCGCCGGCGACAAGTCATGCCGCTACACCGCCAGCCTCGCTGGAAACGTCGCTCCATCCTCCGCGGACCCGATGGTCAACTACACCCTCAGCCATCATCACCAGAACGGCGCCACACCGGGCAGTTTGGTATCCTCCGCATCCGCATCATCCGCCGTCTCAGCGGCGTCCGCCTCCATGGCTGCCGCCGCGCAATTCTATCATCAGGCCGCCGCCGCGTCGGCCGTCGTCGATCCCTTGACGTCCTGCCAACAACCCACCACCGGACAGCCCGGCATTTCGGACATACCGCGGTACCCGTGGATGTCCATCACCGGTGAGTTCACCTTCGATCTCTCCATTTTACACGCAGCCAAAAACTCAATAGCGTCGCTGATACTTGTCGCGATACATCTTTCGATACTAGCAATGGGTTAAACCCGCTGAGAGACTATACAGACTTGAACCCATTGCTAAAACAACAATGTATCGTTTCGATGCATCGAAATGGCGGGATTAAAGCCCGAATGCAATCTATGAATTAGCGTATTGGCATTTGTTTCGGCTACGATTCGGTATACCAGGCGGTGAGCTGGGTTTGGAGTAGAACACAACAATTTTTGGGAAGAATTCATCAAAGTTTTCCACAAATATGCGTGTAATCTGTAAACGTTGACGAATTCTTCCCAAAAATTCTTGTTTTGATTCATTTTAAACAGAATATAATATCGCTTGAACCTTCTACTCCATTACCACCTGATATACCGAATCGTACCTGAAACAAATGCCTATAAGCTAATTCGTACATTGTATTCGGGCTTTAATTACGCCATTTCGAGGCATCGAAACGATACATTGTTGTTGTATCAATGGGTTTAAGTTCGCTGCTCTCATACTGTTGGAAAATAGAGCGATGAATCAACGTCGAATGAGTTATTGTCGACAGCTTAAAACCATTGCTTGTATCGCGACAAGTATCAAAGTCGGTAGGCCGCTTTACATACTGAATTCTGCATAAAGAATCCCGTTTAACCCTCAAGCGGACTCTCAATCTCAACCGAATTACTTTGCTTAATGTTGATTTTTCCCAAATTGGTAAATAGAAAGCAACCTTCCTTTTAAGCATTTAAAAAATAATGAATAATTGTTTAAAGCGTCCCCAAAAATCCACTTAAGGGTTATTTCGACTCCGACCCTCTGATTTTGATCCAATATTTCTGCAAACGGCCCAAAATTCGTCGAAGTTTGCTGGAATTTTTAACTTTCTCCTGTCTCGTGATAAATCTCCCAGCGAACTTTGATTCCCCGATGTTTACAGACAGTGTGCCCGCAGGTTTCGGTGGCCACTTCATGGGGAATAGACTCTCGGTACGGCTGGTCAAACCTGTGGATAAACTAGCTGGAAATTTTAAACTCGGGTTTTTATTTCGTTTTCAATGCCCTCGAGCGACGGGCCTTGGTTGTTGTGACCTAGCTTAACACGTTTGCTGCGCTAGCTTTTTCGTGGACTTGAACGTTTCACGTTTAACATGGCACGGGACGAATATGTACCGTAATTTTCACTACACGTATGTAATGCAAGAAGCATCGAGTCCATAGACTTGTAATAGAGATTTATAGCATCCTTTCACGAAGCAAAGCTCGCAGCAAACGTTCTATGCTGCTTGTTTACCCCTGCTGTCCCATTTTGTTCCTCGTAGATACATCCAGCTTCCCCATAGTCGAAACCGGGATAAAATTCCAACATTATCGAGCAACTGGAATATTGTTTAACGACAAAGTTACACGCTTGTGTCACTTGTGTCGAGGTCGATTAGATTAGGTCGTATCTGTGGGAACATAGATTATCATTCGGCTGGAAAATAAGCATTTTTGGGTGATTTGTCCCTAAAAAACGGTACGATCGAAACGCCTGAGGTTTTCACCATTTACTTAGCATAAAACTATTCGATAACAATAGATTCAAATTGAGCTAACTAAACAAATATGCCTGCAATCTACACCACAAAGACTTCAAAACTCCCCACAGCGTTGGCCTAAAAGTTTCTCCATTGTTTCGCTCCAAATTATAATACTCGTCTCATACTATAGAAATCATAATATTTTAGTTATCTTTATTACACAGTTCGTCATTATTATATCTCAGTCTTCTCTAAAATCTTTGTTCCGAACAATAAGTTATGGACACGAAAGAATTTTTATTTTTTTTTTAAATCTGCCCGCTACTCTTTGAACAGACGCTACTTTTTCTGTTATATCGTCGTAAACTTCGCACACAGATGTGTTTTTCATGTTTCTATCGGTATTTCCAGCTCTCAAAATAAATTGGGACTACTTAAAACACAATAACCACATGTTCTCGAGGAAATGCCTCAACCGCTTTGCTCGTTAATATAAATAAATAGCGAAAAAGAAAAGAGAATCATAGAAATAGTTAAGTAAACGAGGTCGTCTCACCTTCAAAAACCATAATTAGTAGTTGGAATAACTAATTTGTGGTATAAAGTTTCGTATCTTCGAACGACCTCATTAATCAACGTGAATTTTGCATTTCACTGCGGAGCCTTGAAACAATGAAATAACGTCCTCTAATGTCTACCTTCCCACACGCACACTCTGTCGCTAAAAGCTTGAGCAAGAACCTTATTACAATTCATCCTGATTAGGCTATGCAAATAGCCAGTGTCGCAAAAATTTCGCTGTATCAAGTTGCCCCTATATCTACTTAACCCATTTGCCTCCGTACCGTTAACACAGAAATTCATAATCCTCGTGTTTATCATTTTCTTATAACGCCTACTATTTCCCCCCAATCCGGATGAAATTTCGGTTAGGTGCTCTTCGTGTTCCGACGGAAACTGTGAGCAACTTAGAACGCTGCATTAGGAACCAACGGGCCCCAGTTTCTATTCCTGCGTTCATATTTTTCGTAGACGTTTCAACATTAGAGACGATGTCGAGGAATTCAGATAGCGATCTCCATTTACAAATAACGATGGACGACCCAGGACGGTGTTTAACGCACTCGAAAACGGAGCGTGGTTAATTTGCGGAAATATAAGCTATAAAGCAGGTCACAAGGCTTGAAACGAGGGTTCTTTATCAAATGACACTCGTGCCCCGTTCACCCTACGTGCAATAAAGCTCTAACCCAATAAAAAAAAATTTTTAATCCAAGTAACTCGCTTACGATTCAGCCGTGTCGCGGCTACGACAAAGTAAATACCGACGCGAAACGTTTAAAAATCGCCAATTTGCGTAAGGACGTACTTCAGTGCGTATCTTGGCCGTTGGTCACGCTCGACGGGGAAACGGAGATAGCGGTTTGGAAAAAAAAAAAAAATATTTAACTCGTTACTTTTAATCTCGGTCTATCGTACGCGATCGTTAAATGCTCCGTTTGCGTTTCCTCTTTCCGAACGGAAGATGGGAAATGGCCGATACGCTAGCCCGGTAGAGATAGATCCGGCGAACCGTTCGTGGCGTTTTAATATGGCGCTAAATTGGCCGCCGAGAAGGGTGAAATCAATAATAGAATTAACGTTATCGTCGATCGGCCATTCGTACGTCATTTCGATCGTTGTTACGCTATCGACGCGCGTCCGCGTCGGATGTTGTTCTTAATAATGCACGAGAGATAACGATAACGCCTGGTAGGTTGCACGAAACGCACGATTAAAAAGTAACGAATTCGTCCGTTTCTTCGGTGCGTTATTTGCAAGTCAAAGTTGCGTTCCGAGCAATAAATTAATGGCGCGGTAAATTGCTGTTCGGTGCTTCCCGTTGCGGATTTATCGGTACAATTTTATCGGGCGATCGGAATCGTGCAAAACACGCGAACGGAGATGCGCGACTATTTATGCAGAAATTAGAATCCCCTTGTTGTCGCGTTTCGTAAAATGAAACGCAGGAATAGTCTGGGATGGAGCATCTTGGATCCGAAACTGACCTACGATATTTAACAATCTTCTGAATTCCCCTGTCTGCTTAAAACGCAGTCGTTCGTTAGATTACATTGAATTTCCTTTGTAAATTAATACCCATTAACGGTTTCTTTAAACGAACGTGTACAGGCGAGCGGAGCCGCGGGCAAAAGCTATTAAGGCTGCTGGGGGAATAAATGGCCGATTGAAACATGCTCGGATTTACCACGCTATGGCAACAGTTGTTGTACCCCTTTGTTTTCATGCGGCGATAAAGTCTAGTCTTCGCGGAATAAAATACCTTCCTTATTTTAGTGTACCATGTTGTCCAAACAAAGTGTTGCAAGTTGCTTTCTCGGGAGCCAGTAAATATATCGACTCCATTTTTCTTAGCTAAACGGACCAGGTTAATTCAATGTCAAACTTTACTTTATCATCTCTCCACGAGGCAATTACACAAGATTTACAGATTAATACATCACAGAAGAAAATTTAATTTCCGCCCGTTCTAAGGTTCCAAGTTCAATAGTTAACGCCCATTTCGATTCGCGAGTAATTATTCCCGCCCAAAATCGTTCGTTTGCTTACACGACCCGTTATAAATATCCGTCGAGTACGCGGTTGGAAAATAAACGGTTTTCGTTTCGCGTGCCGCGAGAGGAGCGGCTAAATGAATTTTCCGCGACGAGCGTTCGTTCGTCCGATCTAACACAAGTTCCGACACGGTGAACAGCGATCCCGATTGGCGATTCTCGTCGATGTTGGGGATGTTCAATTTACGGGAACAATGGGCAAGCGTGCTCGAGGCGCGATAGGAGGCCTGAAACCTCGCGCCGTTTCCGCGACGAGCCGTGTTCCCTCCGTGTTTCGCATAATGCATTCCACGCCGCGCTTGTACACGCTCGGCGCCTTTGTCCGCGGGGGCATTAGCGCGAACAAAGTGCCCGACGGCGTTTAACGCGTGTATTTTGCGCGAAACGAGCGCCAACGGCGACCTGTCGTCGCGTGAAAACCGCCTCGAGTATTTTTGAAGACGATCCGCGACACATCGGTTAACCATTGTTTCTCGTGGCCCGTTGTTCCTCGCGACGACGGTAAATTTCACACCCCCGTCCCTGCCTCGCGAAAGAAACGCGCTCAAGGCTTCTCGGGGGGACCTGGAAAATACACGAAACCGAAATAATTGCATTTACTACGTGACAAAGCTTCGTTGCTACAGGATGCATCTCTTTTTTTTTATTGTTACGCATTTTTCTGGTCCCTCGCCGTATCAGTTTCGAGTTAATTAAAAACGATCGACTCGCTGCTTTTCATTTTTCAATTATATATTTTTGGGGTGTCGAAGCGTCCCCACGATATTACTAACGTTGAGCTTGAATATCGTTTTGTTTTGCACGAAATTATTAAGATAATACGATGTTCCTTGCAATTCCGGTTAATTGTTTATTCAACGTTTCGATCCAAGTCGCGGGGGTCATCTCCGCGAATGGCATTAGCAATGCAGTAATCAGTAATCAGTGTTTACCGAATCGTAAACGACGAGCAAATTCAACGTGACGTATGTAAATATTTTTTTTAACGAGCAGATAAAACTGAAAACTCCACTCAAGAAGTTAATTAGAACATAGAAAATTTACCACGTCGCTGATGAAGGAACGAAAATTTGAATTGTAGAATGAACGTAGCCATTAAATTGCCGCGCGTTGGTTTCGCTAGTTATCTGTTATTCAAATAAAATTTCGCCCGCATCTCGCGATTCAAACGCGAGTTAAAAATAAGTCGTTAACGCAAAATGGTATTTGTTTAAGCGTGGCTCCGTTCCCGAGATATTCGAGTTTGAAAGTGAGGTATGCACGCAGTCGACCATATCCTTCGTAACGTATGTCTTTTTAATCCATGCTAGTTACTTACGTCTGGTTTTATAAACATTGACGGTGGCATAATTTATTTCTTATCGGCCTTAGTACCTTAATTAATTCTTAATTTCCAACAAGTTATTACGATAACACGACGCAACTAAACACCGCCGAGTACAATTTCTTAATAGTTGCTTCTCAAATAAATGAGTTACATTATTCGACGGTGGAAACGGCATGTAGGAGGCGATAAAACCTCCTACGATCGAGTAGAAAAATCTTACAGCCGTTGGAAAAATGAAAAATGGTGAATTCATTATGTTCAATTCGTAACTGCCTTGTTTAACCATACAGACATGACTCTGTACGCAATAACAAGGAAAATATTCCCAGCATATTTTCTGCTATTAAACTCGTATTAGTTTCGTGCCAGTATCGGTAAATCACAATCAGACTTTCCAAATTCGATCGAAAGACAGATCTTTTGTCGCGTGGAGTCGTTTCTTCGTAACATCGTACGCGATAAACAGGATGCTCGAGGATTTCAAAGCTCGTCGCAAGAAATTCTCGTGGCAAGTGACTTTAGAATCTCGACCCAGGCTAACCCTCCTAGGTACCTGAGTGTCTCGGATAGTCTCGCACCCTAAGACGTTCACCCTTCTGTATTCAAAATGTCAAATATGTGCGAAACTTTCGTCCAGGGAACGGATACTGAATAAAACGAACGTAGTTAAATTTTCCAATTTTTATTCGACCCTTGAGCAGCATTTGGGGAAGAAAATTAAATCGTTATTCGTTAGAAGTAACTGAAATCTTGGACGCCTGGTAACTTTGTTGATAGCGAAAGTGGTTATAATATCGAGTATTTCATGGGACAATGGTAATGGTCCAATAACGATGATCGTACGGTTTCGCGCGTAAGGCGTCCTCTAATAATTCGCTCCAACTATAACGGATCTCATCGACCGACCGCTAGACGGGCGTCTCGACGAACGGCCGCCTTAAAATATCGCGTCGCATCCGGGGCTAACGCTGGAATATCCACGCGATCCGCGAATTAACGTCAGTTCTAGCCGATTTTAAATTACCCAAGACGACGAAATTTTCGTCCCGGTTCGCCCGGCGACGAACACGGCCGTTCGAATATATCGCGATGAAGCCGTAATCGTCGAGTATGCAAATTATTTACCGAGGACCGTTCCGCTATCAACGCCACGCCGTGATGCTCCTATAAACGTATTAAACTGCTGAGCTTTCACGCGTTTTTTACCATCGACTCGAGGCGAAAGAGAGACGGAGAGATCCACGGTTATGTCCGCGATTAACGACGCCGTCTCTAGGCGTTCCAGGATCCACGGTTGCCTAATGCGTTTCGATCGTACCTCCTCGATTTATTTATTACCTGTATCGATGCACAGATAGAGATCGCGAGCTTAATTGTTAGCGTTCGATGATCTCGAGGCTACCATCGAACTGATTTCCATGGGATTTACACGCTTTGGCTGGCATAAATTTTTTGTTAGAGAGATACTTAATTTGCTGTACAGGATATTAGCAATTGGTATACGCGTATCCTGATAGATTGTTAGGTTTTAATGGCTCCACGGTTCAATTTTAATGGGGAATTTGTTGGATGGAGAACGTGTTAATTGCTGGCTTCCTTAGCGATTTCTCGTACGGGACTACTGTATACTCATACTGTATGCTTACGGAAGTCGACCATCTTTAAATATTTTAGGATTATTTCACCGACCCGTTACTGTTATGAAAAACGGTACGTATATATTTTTCTAAAATTAATCGTAATCCCGAATCGTAGCAAGGTTTCGAAAATCGTGCCAATACGATTTATGAATTCACGGTAAACGCGTTCGCTGCCACGCATCTGGCTTATCACGTACATAGGATATGTGACACGCATCTAGCTTATCGCGTTATTTATGTAACACTTTATTTCTCATTTGAAACCGCCGTCACGGATGCGTAACAACGATGATTTGTCACTTTACGCAAAAAATTCGAATCTATTTTAAATTACTAGAGAGATAACGCAAGAAAAATCGAACGAAAATTATTTCTATTCCCTTATTTTCGTTCCGTTCAACGGAGAAGACTGGTTTCACTCGCTTTGCAACGAACGCGAGTTCACCTGGTCCACCTTCGTTAGACTGTGCGTCCTTTTTTCGTCCATAACGCGACCTTATCGGGCACCGTTCGCGAGAAGCGTCTATTCGTGATTCAATAAAGTCCTTATCTGGTTTACGAGTGCGTAAGAATAACTTTTACGATCCGGGAAACCTCCGCGCTATTGCTCTTGTCGCGGTAGTCGCCGCGTGATTTATCGGTACAAATGTTCGTCCATAGTCGGATAACGCCGCGATCGAGCCATTATAGTCGCTAACTCCTGGCGGATGACCACCAGGAAAAATGTTCCCTCGAGCACGGTAGCTGGCGTCGATGACGAATTGCTTCGCCATTTTACGAGACCTCCGCGAAACCCTTCTTTCGACCCAAATAGACATTTAAAGTGAAGACGACAGGGGCCAGCCAAAACGTTTGAAATATTTAAACACCATCTTTGGGAATGGATTGGGTTTTAATAAACAATGAATCTAAAGGCGACTCTCACGAGTGACTAAGATGGAGGTCGTAAGACGTTTGTCTCCGTTTCGAAACGGTTTGGTGTCTCTGATTGGGCGCGTTTCTTGTCGGGCGTCGCGATTACAGGAGATAGACGTCAGCCTAATCCGGCGACGTTTCTGTTTAATCGAGGGAGACCAGGTGGGAGCGAGGGATTAAGTCCCGTTACGCTCGAACGTTCCACGATCCGTTCGTCTAATCCTCGTTCCTAGGCGGGATAGAAGTTACAGCGAGAGCTTTGCGTGTCGGTCCGCCGCGAATTTCCTACTTTCTAATTGCGTATCCGGTGGAATAAGTTTCGACGCGCCTCCCCGTACTACCCCCGTTGCTCGATTTTTCTATCCCTCCTTGCGCCCGATGCTCCCTTGAAGCGCTCCTTGGGTCTGTTTGCGTGTCGGGTAGTTCGTCCGTAGCCTTATGCATGTTTCACGTACCGGGGTTAAAGAGCTCGATAATATCCGTATCGGATCGATTCACCACGAACACTCTCTCTAATTACGATTCTTTCTATTTTTACTTGCAGATTGGATGAGCCCCTTCGACAGAGTCGTGTGCGGTGAGTATTATCTTGTTGTCGCTGGCGACGTTGCTGTTAGCTGAAACCTATCGCCTGGAAACTTTTTTCGTTTCGAGCATCGATATTTGGAGACGAGGTTTTTTCGCCATATTTCGCGGTCGCCGCCATGTTGGCTGCCGCGGACGGGCAGCGAACTTTCGATCTGTTCCGCGTGAACTGGCTGGATATACAAACTTACTTCGCGCGGTAAGTAAAAACACAAAGAACATTCGGCGAAACGAATCACTATATTGTACTTTCAAGCATCCTTGAAAGAGTTAAAAATTTGATTTATGCGCGAAGATCGTCGGTTCGAAACGGTCGTAGAAGTAAAAGGAACTCTCGAGTTCCCCGAGCGTGTGTGCAGCCCGCACATGTGGCGGCCATACTTTCGAGCGTAAACGCCAGTTTCATTCACGGGGCTAAATCGTACGAGACGCTAGTTTCTCGTGGCCCCTATTTCGACGATCGAATTCCCGTCTCGGGGGCGAAATAAAAATTATCGGGCGTAGCGACGTAACGAGACGACGTTCGTTTATTTTTTAGCGATCGTACGAAGGTCGAGGAACGAGTTTCCAGAGTCCGCGGGAAGATTCGGTTGTAAAAGTTCGAAGTTCGGCCCGGGAGTTTGGCGATAAAAGCGCGCCGTCGTTAAACTTTACTTACAATTTCACCCAACGATATACCGGTTGAAATAAGTCGCTTTAGAGCTAATTCGCGCGCCTATTTCGCGTTCGAGGACACGTCGATGACCCAACTCTTGCTTTCAACGCGATGGCGCCGTTCGCGGATTCATTGCTGCGTAAAAGAACAAAAAAAAAAAAGAAAAAAAAGAAAAGAAAAAGTGTCCTTGGTCGGATTGCGTCCCGAACCCACGTGGCTGGAACTGTGTCGGAGAAAAGTCAAGGCCACGAGTTCGAGTTCGAGTTCGAGTTCGAGTTCGAGTTCGAGTTCGAGTTCGGTCGTTTGCTCGAATCCTGGGTGCCGGTAGCACGTGCTACCATAACCCGTACCCTATTCGTTTATGTTGGTTGCGCATGCAAGAAGGACATGTATACGGCCAACTACACCTGTCGTCGCAGTGATAATGTTGCCCGCAAATTATCACCGCGACTATCTTTTATACGGCCTATTACGGCCCGACAATGACGCAGTAAACAGCGATTAGGTGAAATTAAAACCTCGCTCGTCGGACTTATCGCGATGGTTTGTTTACATTGGGCGGATCATAATTTCAAATAAGAGGAAGTCGCTGTGCGCGATGGGAACAGTTAACCGGGTATTTACACCGCCAACAATTCCGAACGAAACACAATCGGGACGAGGGTTGCTCTATGGTTTGTTCGCCCGGGCATTTTAGTATAATAGAACAGGAAAGTAGCGATTCTTTGTTTACGAATCGAATTTTATCGATTTCTGGTGGACAGCTCGATCGATCGTTTGCTTTTGTTTGATGGAAGATGATCGGAGTTTACTTTAAAGGGCGGTTAAAGATTCGAGGTCGGGTCGATATGGCGGACGAATCGGTGTTTTAGAAACACGGAGGTGTGCAAGGTTTTCCTGGCAACGTCTCGACAGACGCAACTTTAATGCGTTAAGGAGGTTGGGCTTCGTCAGCCAAAATACCTGTGGGAATGTGTTGCACGAAGACCTCCAGGATGTTTGACTAATTGTAATCGAAGTTATGTGCGCGAATCAACGTTAGTCCCGCGGACTGGCGATGCATTATGCATACGGTGCTCGTTCACGGCGTATTCCTTTTTGCCCCGATCTCTTTTGCATCGATAATCGCGACGCGAAAACCTCGCCACACTTTCAACACCGACGTACAATCCTGGGATCTTCGATAGCCATATCCATCCCTCGATAGATCACCAGTGAAACATTTCAAAAGAAAACAAATGGGATGCTAAAAATTTCGTGAAATATTTATTACAAAAATTGTACAGTAGTAGGATTGAAAAGGTTTGAGCGTACTTTAATAGTTCGCACAATAGTTCAGCCAAAATAAGACGAAAATCATTTCCGGTCACACGGTATATTTTCGGTAAAGAATTTTGTTCTCGAAAGTACGTAGGATTTCGGGGGTATCTGTATTCACCAAAAATGATTGCAATTGACCATTCTAGCTAAAAATAATTTTTTTAGAATGATTTGAAATTTTTTAATTCCGTCGAAAAATTTGTCCAATTATTGAATTCTTTTCTCGAAACTCGTTAGGATTTCGAAGGTATGTATATTCACCAAAAATGATTGTAATTGACCCCAGTAACTGGAAATAATTTTTTTAGAACGATTTAAAAATTTTTTTTTTCGCCGAAAAATTTAGACATCTCGATTTTTTTTCTCGAAAGTGGTGAGGATTTCGGGGATATATTTAATAACCAAAAATGGTTGCAATTGACCCCCGCAGCCGAGAATAATTTTTCCGTGATCGATTTGAAATTTTTTAATTCAACGGAGCATCCATCAACAAATTGATATTCTTGACTTTTGTCTTATTTTGGCCTCTAAAATCTCCCATTAACATTTCTCCCAAAATGTATAAACGTTTCAAAGCAATAATATCTTTGCATTCTCTTAAAAAATTAAATTTTCCCCGATCCAGAAATGAGAAACGCTGATATGTCGTTTGTAAAACGATGAGCTCGGTGCACTTGTAAATCTTTGCGCGCGTTGTTTTATGGTCAGAGTAACGAGCAAGATAAGGTGGTCTATTCGCGTACGCGTTTTCGATTTCGAGCGTCGATCGATGGAGACGTGCTCGGGGCCCTGGAGAAGGGTCTCGATGGTTTTTCCCAGGAAGCGTGTCGTCGGTTCTCCAAATTTTAATATATCGATGGAAAGGGCCGTTTTCGAATTCCGCGGCGCTCCGTTCGCGCTCGCTATAAAGTAATGCAAGATTAGCACTTTGAATTCAACTCAAGCGCGTCATTCTTTCTCCGCCACTGGCTGGCAATATCCGTCGCCGTGTCTACGGGCGTAATCTATCGCCGGTACGTGAACGTACTGCACCGTCGCGTTTTCAGATTGGCATCGGCGACTGGGTGGCTTCGAAGACCGCGGCCGATAGAATGGCCGTGCACGGTCTCGCCGTAGGATTCCAATTGGGGCGAAAATTATATACATTTTCGCCCGGGGGAACGCCAGCGACACGGCACAATATAGAAAAATGCCACGGTTGCGAAATTAGCTCCTCGATTCTTGAAAGATTCCGACTTCGACCTCTTCCGAGAGGGACTCGATCAATTTCCACGGTAAATAATTCAATGAATTGATCCTTTAACGGATCAGGAATTCAATAATACGAAGTTCGAAGGTGTTTGAGAACGCACGACAAACTTTTGTTGTTACTTTGGGAACATTTAGTTGTAAAAGTACGAAAGAAGTACTTACGTACGTTCAGCGATACGATATTAACCGGGAGATACGCGTATCTAATCTTTCACTCTCGGTATGCAAACGCACTGCATTTTGAGGTCAGGGTTCGGCGTTGTGCCCGATGGCTTCTCGTGGATATTATTCCGCGAGTCCGTTTCTGTAGGAGTCGCTCCGTTTGGATCGGTACCAAATTTCGTAACTTATAATTTACGTGGAATCTGGTAGCAGAGACGGGCCAAATGCCCGAATAAAAATTTTCGCGCAACGAACGAAAGATACTCCCTAAATATAAAATAAAAATATTTAATCGTTTGATATCTTCTTTTAAAGTCGAAATAAAATTCGTTGTAAGAGTTTTGTTGCGGATAGGGACTAATGGTAAATCGAAATAGCTGCCACAACAAAAGGAGGAAAACCGGCGGAGCAAAATAGGATAATGGGAATCCATAGAACGGGTTACGTAACTCAGTCCCGTGACGTTTCTCTTTCCATTCTCCGACGGCAGCGAATGTTTGGCGCATTCGCGACAGAGTTCAGTGGCCAGTAAACGTCTAGCCGGGTTTTGTGTACGCTCGGCTATCACGAGATAATGTATAATTTATAAACAGTTCGATCTGCTGGCAGCAGTGCGCCGGCGAACATTCTTGTTGGCTTACTCAGGACTGTTCCAGGAGCGTTCCGTGCTCCACCACCCTTTGATTAACCCCCGTTGGTGTACTGCGTCGTTCCTGGAAACGTTTACCTCCAGTAACCGGGCAAAAAGGAACGGTAATGGTCGAATCTTCGAAATTACAGACAGAATTCGTTCCTTTCTTATCGTAAAACATTGGCGGAACAAAACGTCTGTCGGTCGTGGGCGCTATTAGCGCGATTCGTTGTCGTATTCTACATGGACGACGTAGGGCGAATGCTAAATGTTCCTAAAATCTCGCTACGGGGCACGTTGGACGAATCGATTATTCATCGTGAGAGCAACTGGGCAATAAAATGGACCTCGAAGTCCATGAATCAACAATAGGCGTATTTAAAGATCTCAAAATTGCCTTTTCCTCTAATATTTCTAAAAATTCCGCTCTGCAACACCCACACTTGCCCACGATTTCTCAACAAGAAAAATTAAACTACCATTAGAGCTTTATCGAATCTAAAAATAATCGATCCAGTGTGCATGCTCTTTATGTACATTCTGGACGAAACGGTGATCCCCGTAGCGCATACTGACGAAGGGTGCAATAAAAAGGAAAGCCATCGAGGGTTGTCCCAAACGATACTATGGACGTTTCGGGGTGGCGTGTAACGCGATTTTCGCTGGCCAGCTAGCGCGATAATGCCGCAACGGTACGGGCCAGTTTAATCTATCTCTGGTTCGCGAACGTTCTGCATTTTGATGTTAGGGCTCAGCGGCTTGGGTACGTTGGATTTCGGTGTGTACACGGGGGCTAGCACGAGATAATGTATAATTTATAATCAGACCGTTTCTCTGGCAACAGTGCGCCACTGCACGGACTGAATCTTCCGCCCCCAAAAGCCCGCCAACCCCTCATTAGCATTCGATGATGGCTGCCGCGTCCTGCAGCGTCCGTATTATCCCATTTCATCGTTCCAGCCCTCCCCTACCT